GTCCTGAAGCTTTGTGTCCGGTCTACGTAGCATCTCAAAGCTCGGACAGGACAAAGCAAAGATAGGGCTAGGTCTGCCTCCTCCAGGGGCAGCGCTTGCAGGCTCACCACCTGATTCCTGAAGGGAGTAGTGGGAACCTTAGGCACATAGCCGGGCCGGGGCCTCAGAATTACCTGGAAGTCAGCCGGCCCAAACTCTAGGCACGAATCGTCGACCGAAAATGCGTGCAGATCCCCTGCCCTCTTGATGGAGGCCAGTGCAAACAGGAGCAGAGTTTTCACTAGATAGAAACTTCAGCTCAACTGACTGCAAACACTCAAATGGGCCCTGCTGAAAGTGTTTTGAGCACCAGAGACAGGTCCCAATAAGGTATAGAGGGAGACCGAGGAGGGTTCAACCTTCTCGCCCCCCTAAGCAACCTGATGACCAGGTCGTGCTTCCCCACCGTTCTCCCCTCGATGGGGTTGTGGTTTCTTTCTGAAATAGAAGCGACGTAAACTTTAAGGGTGGAAGGAGACAGCCTTTGCTCCAATGCTTGCTGCAAGAAGGAGAGCACAACTCTGATTGGACATCTTCGGGGGTTCTCTCGATGAGAGGAACACCACTCGACGAACAGATTCCACTTCAAGGTGTAAGCGTGTCTCGTTGACGGTGGTCGCGCCGAAGTGATGGTGTCAACTACCTCTTGGGGTAGGTCACCTAGAACCTCCGCTTCCCATCCAGGGACCAGACATGAAGTTTCCAGAGGTCTGGATGCAGGTGCCACAGGGTGCCCCGTCTCTGAGTTAGTAGATCCCTCCTCAGAGGAATCTGCCAAGGAGGAGCTGTCACAGTGAGCATCAGTTCCGGGAACCAGGTCCGAGTGGGCCAGTAGGGCACCACAAGCAGGACCTGCTCCTCGTCCTCCCTGACTTTGCACAGTGTCTGTGCGAGAAGGCTCACTGGGGGAAATGCATACTTGCGTAGGGCGTAAGCTGGTACAGCTCGTCGGCCGTACGGTTGAGCAGACCCGGGAATATGAATGGCACGAAGTGACCTCAGAACCTTCCGACTCCAAAAGAGGAGGTGGTGAGCGAGTTGCGACAATCGATGGGAGCGCAGACCACCTTGTCGGTTGATGTACGCAACGGTCGCCGTGTTGTCCGTTCGGGTGGTGGAGGCACCCGTGTAAACCACAGCATGCCTGGAGACCTATTCTAGGGGCACTCCTGCCTGGATAAACGTGAGGTCTGACCACGGGGTGAAGGTTTGGTGACAGGCCGGTGTAACTTGGACCCGGTGAGTGCCGCGCTGCCACGCGCACCTCGGTACTCGGCCATGAAGCCAGTGCTGAAGTGGTCTCATATGAAGCAGCCCCAGCGGTGTAACTGCCGCTATTGCTGCGGATGAGCAGGCTAGGGTGCTGCGGACGGGTGGAGGCAGCAGCTGCCCGCCGGGGCAGGGTGTGACGAACTGCCTCAGTGTGCTTCTGTGCAGCCAAGAGCTGCTAGGCCAGGCTCTCGACCGCGTCGCCGAAGAAGAGGGTTAAGGAACCGAACTTTGTCGGTGTCCCACATATCGACCAGACACAGCCAGAGATCGGGACGCGATGGAGGTTTCCACTCGAGCCCAACCCTCTCAGCGGCCAGGGAAAGCATAGCCGACATCTCCGGATCTGATTCAGGCCTTGCCACTGCCCCGGAGGGCGGCAGTGCAGCCGAATCTTCCTCTCCAGAGAGCTCTCCCTCCGATGCAGTGATCGACATCCGGTCGTCGGGAGGAGCACCGAAGGATACC